TGTGGAAGACGATGTTCGTTTTGTTATGTTGAAATGGTCTGATTGATGAGTGGTAGAATCAAAACCACAGTTTTTAGATTATATATTGTGATCTCGCATGTTCGTTTTCGGGCTTCATAGTTTTTTTCATTTTCTTTGTCGCGACTTGATATCATTTCTTGTGGATTATTTTCAGTGGGACTGACTTGTTGATCGCCGCCGTTACCTTGTTCTGAACGTAATCTATTATTGAAAAGAATATATAAAGAAGTGTTTCGTAGTTAATTAGGTCATTTTTTTAAAAACAAAATTTTATTTTTATTTTTAAATGTGAAAATTAATTTTGATATTATATGTTTAAGTAATTTTTTACATTATTGAATTTAGTACAATCGGAAATCTAATTTAAGGTGCCCATAAGGAATTAAATTACAAAGTAACTAAATTTTTTAGGCTGTTTTTTACTTTATTTTAATTTATTAAAAACCTTTTGGATAAAATTTCTAATAATTTAATGGGTTTTTATTACTGATTTTAAATTTGTAAATCTTTAGTTGTTTTCATTTTATGAATAAAATTATGACAAAACTTATTTTTCCTCTTTTGGATTTGGACTTGGTCAATCAACTTTGGTTATACAAAAAAAATTAGTAAAGTTTGCGACTTCTTTTTTTAAATTTTTTTTGAAATCATTTAGCACTTCGCTTTATTAAAGAGTATAATCGTGTTTTTTAATTTTCTTTCAATATTGTCAGTTAAATATATTATCGAATATCGTAATTCTTTTGTTTTTACTTTTAAGAAATTAAAGCTTACTTTGTTTTTTCGTTCAGAATTCGGTAATTATTCAATTTAACTTTATTATATATGTGAAATAATAATGATAAAAAATAGTGTTGTTTTAAAAGTGTTTTTTTTATTGTTTATTTAGCACTTTGTTTTAAGCATACAAATAATTTTTAATACAAATCTTACAAATCTTACAAATCTTATTTTTAATACAAATTTTTAATACAAGCATACAAATAATTTTAAATTTTCTTTCTATATTGTTAGGTAAATATATTGATAAATTTCAATTTCATTTATTTTTTTATTATTTATTTTTAAACTAAGAAATCTTCCATTATTTGCGCGAACATTTTTAGAAAATATAACAATATCTTTCTTAAGCAAAACATGCATCTTCAAATTCATAAATTGATTTAAATCAATCTGAGTATGAAGTTTTGATAGAAATCCGACTTTCTGTGCCTTACAAGTTAATGAATTTCAAAAATACTATATTGCGATACATCGCTATATCGCGATGCAAAACTGACGATGCATCACGATATAAAATTTCTTATATCGCCCAGTCCTAGTGCCAAGTGTTCCTCACGCTTTGAAATGTTAAATTTGGGGGCATTCTTTGGTATTACCAACACGGATACTTATCAAAATTGCATAAATCTTGTGCAAGGCAGCTCCGAATAAGAAAAGAAATAATTTATTTTTAAAACTACTAAAAGATAACGAATGGGTAGAATAATAAATTATGTAAACAAAGTATAAAATTAGAACTTGAGCTGTCAAATTATATAGTTTAGGGTAATACCAACTATACATGATTTTATGCTTGAGTAATAATAAAATTGTATTGCCTAGCGAAAGGGAAAAGATAAATCGCCAAAATTGGCTAGTTCCTCGTGGAAAGTGTTAGAAAGATGTTGTTTACGTTTCGAGTCAGAAAATACTTTCGAAGCCACCAGTTGCTATGACGACATTTGAATAAAGGTGATGCCATTTTCCGAAGGATAATACAAGAGTAAAATCTTTTGCTCTCTCGTCCGTGATTTTATGCTGTCACTCACTCAGAAATTTCATTTCGGAGCACTTCTTGAATCAAAGCTTCTCAGCCATTTCTGTCACTTTAAGAGAAGTTTGCTGAGAATTTCTTTGAACTAGATAGAGAGTCTAAAAGTTTTACCTCAATGTTATAAACATAATTCAATTTTCAGTGGCACAAACTTTAATAAAACGACACTCTTTAAAAATAGAATTTCTTAAAAACCCTTTTAAGATAAAAGACATCTTTAATTTCATTATATTTAACATCAAAGTATTAAATTTAAATTCTTTTAAGGAACAAAAACTTTTAATATGCCAAACTTAATATCAATTATAAAGAGCAGTGAAAGAATAAATATATTACCTATAGAATATTTTTAGTTTTAAAAATATTTGAGGTGGTCATTTTAATCAGTTTCATTTAATTCCTTCTTTTAATGATTTTTCATGAATAAATTTTTTACTTGATTTTTTTTTTAGTTTCATACTTAGTCAAATGTAATTACACTCTATAACAAAAAAATCGACGCACCAAGAAGGAGTTGTTCGATTGAAACGAAAATTAGTGGATAGGAAGGCAATGTACAGAATAGTTAATGATTAAAATTTCAGAACAATTGAATAATTTATTGCAGAGTTACAGTAACAAGCTCAATAAGGTGTTGACCAGCCTCTAGCCTGGATACAAGCTGCCACACTGCGTGGCATAGACCGATTTTCCTGCCAAATTCGATTCAATTGTCGAACGAGGTCATCAACATTCCGTACCAGAGGCAATAGCCTTCCCGTCATATCCTAGACATGCTCGATGGGAGAGAGATCTGGCGATCTGGCAGGACTAGGAAGAGTTTGACAAGCTTGCAGACAGTTCATAGCAACACGTGCCGTATGTGGTCTGGCATTGTCCTACTGGAAAACCAGCCCAGGGCACTGCAAAAGGAACGGTAGCAAAACAGGTCTTAGGATGTCATCGGTGTTGTGCAGTAAGTGTAACTCTAATGACGACCAAAGGGGTCCGGCTGTCAAAGGAAATGGCACCCCAGACCATAATGCCTTGTTGAGTACCGGTGTGGCGTGCAATAGTGAAGGCAGGATCCGCCCTCTGCCCTGTGCGTCTCCAAACACGTCTTCGATGATCGTCAGGACACAGTCGGAAGCGGGATTCATCGCTAAAGACTGTACGTCCCCAGTCGGCATCATTCCAGCCATATCTGTTCAAAACATTCATGCATACGAAATTTAAAAGCAATCGGCTTCTTGGTGCGTCGATTTTTTTTATAGAGTGTATTTTACCTTTGTAAAATTTGTATTCATATTTGTATTATAAACATATATTAATAATGTTCTGTAATGAACATATGTTTACATAATACTTGTCAAAAAAATGAGGTTAAAATGTGTACTCAATAGAAGGCACGAAATTAATATTCAGGCGAGATTGCTAATGGATCAATACTGTTGATGGTAGAACTGACTAAAGAGTTATACAATGTGCGAAAAAAGAGAGAGAGAGAAAATACCCTGAATAACATATGATGTAATAATCGAATTAACACATTCCAGGGTTCAGCCTTAAAGGTTCCAGGGCGTGACCTCAAATATGCTAACAAATTTATGAAGACAAGATTTAAAGCTATGAAATCAGGCGCAAAAAGTACTTTCTCTGAATAAATATAATTTTTTTTTTTTTTTTGACGGATCGGTTTTTCTGACCAATCTGGGAAATATGACTCCAATTGTTTGGTCAGAGAAGCGGTCCAAAATTTCATCCCTTTAAAGTTATTTTTCATTTTTGCGTATTTCGCCAAGGATTTGTTTTAAGCGAATTGAAAATTTTTTTCAAACAATTATAAAATACGTTTATTGAAATGTAATTCCATGTAAAAAATAGTTTTAATTAATTATTTATGATTTTTTATTATTTTGTTTAATAATAGTCAAAAACAATTTGAAGAGCAAGGTGTACAATTTTTTTACGTCATTTTAAAACTCGCAATTTTCTACGGCAAAATATAAAATTTGCCGAAATCAGTCGAGTAGATTCTGAGAAATTCAATTTTAGGAAAATCATATGCTTAAAATTCACAGGAGCTATAAAGTTTTATTATTTTATAAGTAAATGTACTTAAACTTTGATGTGACATCTTTTACTCCGGAATTGGCAGTAGTTTGTAAATTTTTTTCCTATCCAAATTTTTATACTATCCAAGTATTATGCTCATTAATTTAAGCTTAGTTTTGATTTACTATAGATTTTACAGATGTATACTTCCCTTTCGAAACCATCTAAACCTGTTTAACTGCCAGAGGAAACGGGAATTATTAGACGATTTTAAAAAACAACCCCAACTTTCATCAGGCAATCGAATTCGCTTTAATATTTTTTCAAAATGACTTCTTCAAGTTTCTTTGGTAAGGTATTTTTTTTCTTAAAAAAGGTTGTCGTAAAATAAAGTACTTTTTAAATTTTTGTTGCATAAATATGTTTAGAAAACTGACTGCAATATTTTTTTTAAAATTGTAAATAGTAATACTGTTTTATAATATAAACAATTTTTGATTAATAAAAATGTAATATTTGAACTTTTTTTTGCACTTGAACTGAAATTTGATTTCGCAATTCAATCTATTAGTTTTCTTTTTCTTTTTTTTTTTGAATGTCAATTATGTACAGTGTCTAAAAAAATAAAATGAAAAACAGTGAAAAAAAATAACGGAAATCTACAATTTTGACGACTTTTCACTTGCCCGGATAACCGAAAAGTGCATAAAATTTCCATTCGAAAAAACTAACCTAGTTTCAAATTTTACCGTGTAGTTTTGTACACATTTCATGTTTTTGAAAGAAAAAATTAAATTTCAACGAATAAAAACAAATAAATAATCCTAGCATAAAAGGGAAAGTTTTATGATTTGCATGATTTGAAAATTAACAGACTTTTCTTATAAAAATGGGCGTTTCTCAGTCACTTTCGCAATAATCATAAAAGTTATATTATTATTGTAATTAATAATGCCAAATAATGTTAATTAAAAAAATGCTAGGAACTTCACGCATTTTTCAATTACCAAAAAAATTTATTCAATATAATTTAATATATACATTTATATATATAAAACATTTATTCAATATATTTATTCACAATTATAATTTAATATCATTTAAAATTTGTTATCAATGCTTAATTTAAATTATAAAAAATCACAAATCATTTCTTTAAAAATGCGAAATTAGCTAACTCATTTCAATTATCAATCGGAGTAAGTACAGTAAAAGTAACGCCAATATGATGGCACACAACACTTTCTTTACGCTCTTGGAAGCAGTTTTGTGTTCAGATTGTGCCGCTAGTTCAGGAAAATACTCACAAAAAATAGGATTAGTTAAGTTAAACTTCATGCTTTCCTTGGCAAACAATCTTTTACATTCCCTCGATGTTTTAATTGAGCCAGTAGTGGATTCATTGCCAGTCATGAAGCTTAGAAGAGCATATAAAATAGCGCCAACTGACCAGGATGGATCCCAAGTCTCTGAGTGGTAATCGCTGAAACTAAAGCAAAGTCTTAAGTTGGTCATGAATCTTCCATTAGGTGTTATCATATAAATGCTGGGACCTCTGTATGGATAGTTTTTGGGAAATATTAGCTTACCATGGTAAACACCACCAGCGTAAGGCGTATTTTCAGGACCTAAAAGAACGTAGTGCCATTCAAAAATATTGTCATGCAACGGATGGGCTCTCACGTAGGGAATGGGATCTATTATTAGATTAACGTAATCCTTTTTGAGGCGGCGATTTTGCATTGGATTAAGATAACAAAATTCTTGTCAGAATTTAATTTGCTTTTTAAAGAGATTAGTAATTTTACAAGTGAAGCATTTTGTTTCGGTCAGTAGTCTTCATAATATTGAAAGTAGAATATTAAATGCCACGTGTCGATATTAATCATTTTGACCAATTTTTTTTTAAATAGACAAATGAAAGCACACTTGATCCCGAAATAGCTTATTTGATCTAGAAAGCAATATAAAATTTGTGAATGAGGTTAACACGAGCGTTAACTTTATTTTCAATTTTCGTTTAGTTAATAATTCGGTAGATTTTACCGATTTTACATTAGGTTTTAAAAATGCATTTGTTCTGATACAAAACCCATCATTGCATACTTCTAGCACGATTAAAATGCATGAAAATAACGATATGCGTTTTTTTAACTGTAATTAATAAAAATTAAATTTAAAAAAAATGAAAAGCAATTTTAATGAAAAATAAAAGAACGTATTGAGTTATTTATGTGTGGAATTAAACGTGTTTAAATGTTTTTTTTAAGTTTCCCAAAATTCTTTTCAAAAGTTATTGCACAACGAGAATTCAATTAAAGTAAAACAAATTTAATCTTAAAAGAAATTTTCCCCTCCATTTTAGTTTAGCAATTTTATTTATAAACTGATTCACCCAGTCATTGTTTCATTGATACAATGATTTGCATATCCTCTAACTCTCTAAGTCACCGAATCACTAATTTTCTAATATGGCCATTTACTCATTCGCTAATTCATCGTTTTGCTTTTCTTTCTTTATTTTAATACTCATTTCTTTTCTGTCGACCATTGATCAAAGGACACAGTGTTCGACCTCCACTAATGTGGTGAACTAGGTACTAGTCCTAGTGTTTACTGCTTGTTACGAATTCTGCTGTCCTGTCACACTAACCACAGTGCTGATATAAAATATCCTCGGAAGTAAGCGGATCATGGGTTAGAATCTCTTTTCCATCAGACTAACCGTGGGAGTTTTTCGTGATTTACTTCTCCTGTAACGCAAAGGCGCTTTAGTTCCATCAAAACGTTGAAGACTAGTTTGTGTCAATGCTTGATCTCACAAAGTTTCCCTTGTCTTCTGGATTGGGTTCAAAATTGCAGGGCTATGCAGTTGAACATTGATAGTCGCGAAATCGGAATTGGGTCGGCTGTTCAAAGCCGTTTATAAAATTGTAAATTATTGACGTTCTTTAAGTAGACAAGGAATAACTACAAGGGAACCCGGCTTCAAAGAATAATTATGAACAAATCTGGTTTCGTGCTCGCTAAGCTCACCAACTCGCCGAAAAGACTTTCGCTTACTTTTCGGATTGCTTGCAATCCTATCTCATTTTTCTTGTTGATGGGAAATTTATCTGTTTATTTATAGTTTCGTATTATTACTATGGAATTGTAGAATTTTTTTAAATAAAGTTCTAAAAATGCTCAACTTATAATTCAAAGCTGGAAATTTCAGTGTATGCAGACACAAAAGTTTTTAGTCCATCTTACATTAGCACGTAAAATGTATAAAAGCCATAAAAAAAGGTAAAAAATAATAAAGTGTAAAAGCTTAGTAGCAAAATATGAAGGAAAAGGAAGTAATATATTTAAAACTTAAGTTGAATCGATAAGCAGTGTCATTAACCCTTTCACGCAGAATTTTTATTAAACACATTTTTTTATACTTTTTTTTATTTGTTCACAAGGTTGTTTTTATTGTTTGTTCACAAGGTTGCTTTTATTGTTGTTTTTTATTTGTTTTACAAGGGGACTCTATCCCATGATCCGTCTAGGTCAAAAGAAGTGAAAAATATTGTAGTTAGTTTTTTAATAATTTACGGTTATGAAATTCGGTACGAAACACCGGTGTCTTTTTCTGCCTTAAAGGTAAAATCTTTAAAGCACAGTTCACTTCCAAGCAATATTTTTTTAGTAACTATTAGATTACTTTTTATAATTAAAAAATACCAAAATACATTTTTGTTTGTAATTAGAGTATCAGATAAAATATATAAAAGGTACACACAAGGTGTCTTATTTGTGTCAAAGCGCTAAACATAAGTAGCAAAACGAAAAAAGATTATTTTCAAAGTTTAAAATTTGTCTTTTAATTCCATCCCTAGCAGCAATTTAACTTGGGCCCTCATTAAACCAATATTTACGAATCTTGGCTCAATAAGGGTTCAAAAGAGCAGTTATTTTCCGATATTGGCCCTATATAGAATTCTCCGACTCTCTCGATATTTTACAACCACTTTACAACCAATATCGGCCCTATATAGAGCTGTCAGATTCATCCGATATTTCAGATTCATAATTCAGTCAATATTGGCCCCTTAAAGGCCGATATTGGCGCTATATAGGAAAAAATCGACTATATAGGCGCTATATAATTGGCGCTATATAGGCGCTATATATAAAAAATCTAGACATCCCAATACTATTCCCTCAATGCATGTTCATACAGGACCTATATTAAGCCAATTATTAGCTCTACTGGGGTTAAGGTAAAATTGTTGATAGGGATTGTATACTTGAGAGAGTACATGCACAAGATTGAAGGGGAATTAAAGTATCTCATCCTAGAACGATCTGCAAGTAACTGAATTTTCTTTTTGTGTTTTGTTTCTGCTATTCTTAAAACGCCTCATTCTTATATTTTTTTGAAAACTCCTTCCGGCTGTTCCATTCTTTCTCCTTCAAACAACCTCTATTAACAAAAATATTAGCCGAATTTCGACTATTAGAGAGTGAGGAAAAAAATATCAGAAAGTCCAAACAGTGAATTTCCAAACTTTCTCGCGAGAGCTTCGGGACTTCTCTTAGGAAGACAAACATTATTTTAGCCATTAAATTTCTTTTCAGGAGCTAGAGAGATAGGAATTTCTAATACACGATGAGTGATAGCAAGGAGGGATATTTTAGAAGTATTTCTAATTTAAATTGCGAAAAATAAATCATTAAAAATTATAGAGCCTCTTACTTTTCTTAATTTACATTTATGACATTCAAGCTTCTAGTACTATTTTTCTCTCTTAAATAAACATATTTAGCGACAATTTTGATTGAAAACGGGTAAGGGAGAGGTCAAGAAATCCTCGTACAGAAAATTCCCAAACGTTCTAGCGAGAGCTTTCAGAATTCGCCCTTTCGAAATATTTTAAAAAATTGGGAATAAAAATTTAAGCGTTTAAAACAAAAAATTAAAAAATTGTGAGAAAATATGAAAAATAGATAATTTTGAATGATTTTATTTTGCAATTTAATCGGGCAGAATCTCCTTACTTTCTATATATTTTTTCTTGTATTTAAACTTTCCTAATTTTCGCCCATCAAAAGAAATTCAACTGTTAAAATAATTGTTCCTTTGGGAGATATCCATGAGCTTATTTGGCGAAATATTTTAGAGGATTCCTTGCAGGAGACCTACCCGATCTCTTATCCTCAAAATTGTGGTTAAATATTTTTACCTAATTATTATGTTGACGCATGCTAGTAGAGGGGTGCGACTGTTCTTGCTTTCCAGTGGCGCCATCTATGGCTAAGAATTCGACTACTGCCACATCCATACGTCACACCCGTTTATAGAGCGGACCCATTCATGCATCCATTCATTCATCCACAGATGGTAATTTTGACCTGAATCTGAGAACGATCAATCTCCAATTTAGTACCCCTAGAGGTATTGATTTGTGACGGGAACATGGAAGACTTTGCAACTCGACAGATTTAACGTGCATCAGCCTCTATTTTACTACAGGGGAGTCTGTGGCCATCGGGGTTCGAACCCACAAACTGTTGGACATGGGCCCAGTGCCCTAGCGACCAGGCTATCTAGGCCACCTAATTATTATCTAAAATTAATTTGATTTTTAAAATAATTTTTTAAGGAGGGAATTTTCAAAATTTTACCTACTGTAAAAGATTGGCACTTAAACTCCTGTGCTGATAAAAAAAAATTAATAAATTTGTATTTATAAATACAAACAAAGTAGATGAGAAATGAACGAAAGCATAACGCACAAGAGAAGACTCCCTAGTGTTAACTATTACCAGTGTATACTTCTTGATCCCACGAAAACTTTAACTGTTACCCGCAATTATATAAACCATAGTCCTTCATTTATACTTTATTTTCTTGTATTTTCTAAAGTTATCGGCAGGTGGTCACACAAATCATGCATGGAAAAATAGCTTCCCTATAATATTTAAAAGAAATTATGAATTTCAAAAATTAATGAACATTACGGATTAAAAATTATTTACAATACTTCCCATGACCTTATAAAGAGCTAGCCGGCGTAACTTCAGAGAGACAAAAATCTAACACAGCTTGTTTGTTAATATTGCTTTTCTTTCCCAGACTTTTTTTTCATTCTCCGGTGAATTCTTTTCTTTTCCAGATTTAGCTTCAAGGCATCCCAAATGAATAAGTGCGCAGAAAGAAAAAATAGTCAGTTGTTTCGAACAACAAAATGTCGTTATTCGATCAAAAGCAAGATGTCAAAACAAACACGTTAAGCGAAAGATTTTGCGCTAAAAATAGATATTAATCTTACGACATGGAGAGGGCCCTTTTGTCTGGTTTGGAAAAACAGAAATTGATTCTTAGATGCCTTTGCTCGACCATATAATGAAAAATAAGAAAAATAGCATCTGTTTCAGCACTTGTTATATCCTATAGCGTTTACTTTAACGGGTATAAAGGATTTTATCAAACATTTTTTTTCTTTTCATCTTCTGATTAGAATTCTTTATTTTTTTTTACCTAAGTTTATGACCTAATCAAGCTAATTAATAAAATATCAAGTGTCATATATTTTGATAAGAAAAATTTTCTGTTTTAAAACATAATTATACCTAAGCACAACACATCTTAAATAAAACTTGTTTTGTCAATAATCTGTACTTAATATGTACTTTTCACCATATCTTTGAAAATAACTCAAAAGACAAAAAATTGCTTGTGCAAAAAGACGTTGAATTGAAGTCGGAATAAAGCTTAGAATAATTTTGTTTTAATATTAAGACTTATCAAAGAAAATGAAGACATGGAAACCATATGACAATCTTATAAATA